AAATTCGAGATTTAGCAGCAGAATCTTTTTGAAGGGAGGGACTTGAACCTGTTCGGCAGCTTCATTTGATTTCTGTTTCTTGTCTATGAATTCGGTTGGGAAACTATTTTCCATCAAGAACCTTCTCAGATTTTGTAGCTATTCGTCAACAGATTCTTCAGTACATATTTTCCGGATTCTTAAGGAAATAGGATAGATAAGATACCTGTTTCTGTTTACAGGGACAGAAGTTTGAAAATTTAATAAACCATCAGTCCCATGTAGGTTTTTTGTTGACCCAAATGTGTGTGCGTGCTTGGGGGGGGATAGGATAATTAAATGAAGATTAGTTGATACTTTCAGGATCTATATTAATAACGAGGAGTTAGTACATGTGCGTATAACTGAAATCGATTTTGAGCCAAGTCACCAATGGTCTCCAACCATTTATTCTCAATATTCAGAGGACACCAGCCTCGAAGTCCACACCCTCTACATGGCTCAAACTAATGGTCAAACACACATTATTTATCTCTGCCTTAAAAATGAAAATCAGTAAGGTATGGAAATGATAATAGTGAATGGTAAACGCAGAAGGCAATAACTAGGCCATGAAAAGTGATGCCCTCAAAATGCAAGTTTCAAAAGAGAATCCAGGACCGAAATATTTTGGGGTTTATTTATAAATATTAAAACTGAAACGATGATAACAAAATCTTGGACTTTTCGGTGTTTTAGGTTTCCTGAGGTAAGTGGTTTAATTAAGAAGCTATGAGTGTGTTTCTAGACAACATCTTCAACATTAACTGCAAGTTGAAATGAGCTTTTGGAATTCAGCAGTGACGTAACAACCTTCTCTCCTGATGATCTTAAACGTGACTGGTTGTCTTCGAGAGTTTCTTTGTCCTACTGTCTTCACTTGTATTGCTGCTGACCATCTTTTTGACTTGGTGTTTGACCATGTGACTTAGTTTTTACTACTTAATCTAATGTAATTTGCTTATATCCATAGACTGCACCAGCAGGATACTGGCTAGACGCACTCATAGTCACTTACTAACATGAATGTCAAAAGCACTGTGGTCAACAGCTCAATTACGAAAACACACTGTTACTTCAGGTCACGTAACATCGACAGAGACTTCGCTTAGTCACATATAAAATACAATAAAGTCATTTAAAAGGATTTCGTCTACATCTTATTCATGCAGCTGAAACTTTAGCAATGCATTAGGAAAAACCTGAACTTTATATTCAGAACCCCAGCCACCTATTATTACCGTGGCCTTAGTGTCACTTTCTATTTTCTCTTGTATCATATCAATAATTTCTTAATGAATACTCATTACTTAGCTGGTCAGTCGTCAACCCTCATTGATTACGTAATGTTACCCAGAATTTTTAAAACATTATTATTACTTATTCACTTTGATTTACTTTGTTACTAACCAACAATGACCCTGACTTCTGTTGTCAATTAACACTGCATATATTATTATTATTAATGTTCCCTTGAGTTTCAAGTGGAATATGTGGCTTCAAAATAACATCTGCGATTTGTCCTGTCCTCTGCACTCCTTCCTCATCTGGCCTCACATTGCCCATAGTTTCTAATGTCCTCTTCACACGGTCTCCTTGATGTCACTCTATGACCAACGCTCAACTCTTCGTTTCCTTTGTTTCAGGTTCCACTCGAGCGATGACCCGGCGCGAGATGTCATTCTACGGTCTCCTCAGAGTTTGTCCAATTCATCTCCATTTTCTTCGTCATAGTTGTTGAGCAACAGGTTCTTGGTTTGGTTTGTTCCCACACAGTGTCTTGTTGCAAATTCTTTCTGACCATCTCTCTCATCTTCAATATTGGAGTGAAGGCAGCTGTTGATGAAGTCTCGTTAGCGATTGAGAATGCTTTACGGGATTCACCAAGTCTCTGAAACATACAGAAGAACTGAATGATTTGACACTGGTGTTAAGAAGACGAATCTTGTTCTTTATGCTGAGGAATGCAGAAGATTTCCAAATTCGTTTCAGAGTGATGAAGGCGTCTATCTTGCCCTTCCACTGATCCTGGTTTTGACATCCTCATCGTGCTACCCGTCTGCAGTTGAAACGATGCTGTATAGGTAAGTGAAGAAAGTGACCTCTTTCAAATTTATTCCATTGATACTAAAACATTTGTATAATATAGACCCCCAAAATGATTGTAAAGCTTTGAAGTAAAGTTACGAAAAATAGATGTTTTTGCTGACTTATGTGTTCTTACTTAATTACAGAAAAAACATTTGATATAAGTATAAAACTTGGGCACTGTGGTAGAGTATAACTCCATTATGGATAGGATTTTATTTTGATAAATCACACAGTGTTGTACAGTAATATTAACTGATGACGTTTCGAGCACAAACTATTGTTCATAATCATATCAAGTTACTCACTCACACAACCTTTTCCCTCATTTATATACATGTGTGGAATCGATTAGATGTTGGAAAAAAATCAATGTGGGATAATGTACATTCAGAAATAATAATATGAGTGTTATCAATCCAGTACAATCAGATGGGAAATAAGACTAGTGATTTATAGTCATAATAAGTAACTTGTTAGAATGTTATGATGTACGTGAATTGAATTGAAATAGAATTTTGAGATTATTTATTATCCTCCTCTGATTTGACTGACTGACTGGTGGTAATAATATCTTCCATGCATATCTGTGGTATTTGCATTGAGTCATTCCTATTGCATGTGTTGGGTATAGATTCGATGAACAAGGATTCAGTAATCAACCTCTCTCTCCACTTACCTAGATTACTCTTTAAAATTTAAACCCTCTTCCACCACCCTATTGTGAGGTTGTGTGTTAATGCGTCAAGTGCAATTGCTGAGCTTTTTCTAAATTATTTATCTTCTCGGGGTCAACCATTCTTCCCTTAGCTAAATTCTTATGTTCGGACAATCTGACTACCCCCGACCTACTAGTTTGACCTATGTAGTTGACCTCACAGTCATTGCAGGGTATTTTGTAAATTATATTATTTTGTCTAATTGGGTCAACAGAGTCCTTTAACCTACAGAGCTTGTCCACCTGAGTGAGTTTGTAGGTTTGAATGCCACTCTAATTCCTGCTTTATTAAGAATCCTACGTAGGGGTCTCAGATGTCCCCTCCTTATATGGTATAACAGTAGATGACTTATATTCTCTCTTATTTATGTTATCATTACTAGTTTCACAATTATTTTTATTTTGCTTTTGGCTTTTTTTGATCTCCCTAGTGAATTTTATAGGATAGTTATTTAACACCAACACCTCTTCTATCTGTTTTATTTCATCATTCAGGTCTTTTCTTGTGCTACTTAGTGCTATTGCTCGGTTTGTTAGACACTTAACTAAGCCTGTCTTCTTAGATAACGAAGGGATGAGATGAATTAAAGTCTAAATATCTATTAGAATGCGTTTGTTTTTTATAAACACTAGTGTGCAGTTTACCTTCTTCTATTCGTTTTATTTCACAATCTAACATCAGCTAATTCTCCTTGTTCATTTTCTGATTCAAATGTGAATTTTATTCCCTCCACTAGTGAGTTTATATGTGTCAAGAAGCTAGAGATATGTTCTGTTTTTAACACTGTGAAAGTGTCATCCACATATCTCCACCATAGTTTTGGAGTAGGATTGAATGTATTAAGAGCAATATTTTCCCAGCTGTCCATAAATATGTCTGTTACTATAGAAGATATTGGTGATCCCATTGCTACACCTTCTGTTTGTCCATATATTTTGCCTTCGAATTTAAAGATAGTAGATGTGAGGCATAACTATCCTATCTTGATTTTCATTCCAATATCTAATCGATTCCACACATGTACATAAATGAAGAAAAATATGTTGTGTGAGTAACTTGATATGATTATGAGTGGCAATAGTTTGTGCTCGAAACGTGATCATCAGTTAATATTACTGTATAACACTGTGTGATTTATCAAAATAAAATCTTATCCATAATGAAGAAAAAACATTTATCACAAAACCTCACAGCCATTTCATTCTATTTCAAGTCATTCCACTGGAGGAAAAAATTTCTATCTTTCTAATAACAAGTTCCGCCCTGTTGATTGATTATCGAATTCGTTACACTGACATCTTAGTTTTCATTCCATACTGGATATTTTTTTTGTTTGTTTTTGCTTTGACCTTGTCCTAATTTTCAATTTTCAGATGCTGATAAAAAAAATGCCTTTCGTTATTGAACACATTAGTAAATGTTAACTTCGGTTATTTCAATCAAATAAATCCACTGTACTAGGTAGGTTTTAGATGGCCTTAAAACATTTATTACACATTTTTTTCGAAAAAATCTATGAAGACAGTTTAGGTGTCTCAAATTTCAATGCATCTATCAATCCAGCTGCGCCTGTGGAGCCAGTTGTATTGGCCGTCGCCTTCGGAACTTAGTTTCTCGTGCTCCTGAACACCTACCAGTATGGCTAAATAAATGTGTAGTAAAGTGATATCAACAGTTCGATATTAGACTATCTGGTCTAAACAGGCTATGAAGAGAGCATTGAAAAACTTTCTTCTATCCTCTGTCGGTTAAGGAATAAATTTTCAAAAACCACCAGAGGCCCATGGTAGTTCGCTTTCAAAATGCCGGAACTCTATGTGTAAACGAAACTGTCTCAGGCACTATGTGGTACCCTGGTCTGCTATGGAACCTATACATTCATTAATTATCTATTATTTCTATTGCTTGACTGATAGAGTTCAGTCTGCACCGAATATAGGACTAGACACATTACACTAATTACTGACTAAGGTCCAATCAAAAATATCCAGTGCAGTTCTACAGGAGGTCAATCGCGAGCATGAATAACTCAGTGGTAACGTCTCTGACTGCAGCACTGGGTTCAAATCTCAGAAGGGACACGAGTTCCTTCGAGGTTGCAGATACGCCTTGCTGACGAGTGATAACTAGCACGAAACCTAGGTCAGGCAAGGCTTCCTGCCGATTGCCTTCAACCACCTAATACCAACTATTCACAGTGCACCGTAATGGCGAGCCACCTAGCATGATGGCCACATTGCAAGCTTGACTAATAGAATTCAATATAGCAAAAATATTCATTCAGACATCTATAAAACACAAAATAATCGAGCAAAGAATATCCTTTTCGATAAATTCCTCTTCTGGCTCTACAATTATATATACATGTTTATATACATAGAATATTCTAGAATAGTAGTCAATAACAATATTAGTGTTTTTTAAATAATATCGATGGAATTACCACAGTTCATTAAAGATGCTTAAATTATAATAATAATAATAATAATAATAATAAAGATATAATAGCAAATAGAATATCAACTAAAATTAGGAAAATTCCACAAAAATTCAGGATCATTCAAACTTAGATGGCCAAGGTAATAATAATGTCTGAACTTCTTTACCGCATACCAACAAATCTCAATTTTGCCTCAAGAGTTCGACTACTAAATATTGCTGAGGCTCTGGGGATCCATATTAACAAGCCTAATTTATGCATCCAAAAGAAGTTAGTTCAGACATTATCATTACCTTGGCCATCGAGGTTTGAATGATCCTGAATTTTTGTGGAATTTTCCTAATTTTAGTTGATATTCTATTTGCTATTATATCTTAATTATTATTATTATTTAAGCATCTCTTATGAACTGTGGTAATTCCATTGATCTTACTTAATAAATCAATATTATTTAAAAAACACTTATACTGTTATTGACTACTAATCTAGAATATTTTATGTATATAAACATGTATATATAATTGTAGAGCCAGAAGAGGAAATTATCGAAAAGGATATTCTTTGTTCACTAATCCGTCTTTTAAAAAAACTACAATTAGCTTTAAGTACTAGAGCAGAAAAGACATTACTTGACTGGATCCCGGTAGATAGCCGAATGTGCGCTGTCCGTCTGAACGGATCAGTGAAAAGGAGAAAGGACTGCACTACTCGCCGATGCCTTTTCGTAATCTCCGCCTACGCCCCCACTGACTGCAGTTCGGATGAAACGAAGGATGAGTTCTACCAAAAGCTGTCTAGTTTGCTGCGAAAGGCTAGACGCTCAGATATAGTCGTTTTAGCTGGTGACTTTAATGCTCAAGTAGGGAAATTGTGTCAATCTGAGAATGTTGGTGGCACATACGGAATTCCGTGCCAGAGAACCGACAACGGTGACCGTCTCCTACAGTTCTGTTCAGATAATCATTTGTATCTTGTAAGCACTAACTTCAAACACAAGGAGAGTCACTGTCTGACCTGGCGACCCCCATCATCAAATCAACGCTGGACACAAATAGACCACATAGCAATAAGCTATCGTTGGCGTGGGTCGGTAGGAGATTGTCGCTCCTTCTGGAACACGTGTGTAGATACCGATCACGCACTGGTCCGCGCTCGTGTGTGCTTACGACTGAACGGACGTAGGAAACAGCGAGCGGTAAACCCATCACGTCCCCAGCTCGACCAGGGAACTAAGTCCCTATTTGAGGAAGAACTAGCTAAACATATATCTGAGTTTGACAGCTGCGCTCACCCTGAAGAAGCCTGGAAGAATATTCAGTCAGCCATAGATACAGCTGTAAAAGCTGTGAATAAGGTAAATCCAAAGGTGAGTAAAAACCATTGGATTTCGACTGCCTCATCCGAACTGATAGATGCTAGAAGACTTATTCCGGCGAGCTCCGAATTCAATGAGGAGCGAAAGCTGCACATGAGGAAACTTACGAAAAGTCTCCGCAAGGACCGTGAACAGTGGTGGTTGACAAAGGCGAAAGAGATGGAAAAAGCATCGGCGATAGGCAACACCAGACAACTATTCAGGCTTATCAGGGAAACAGGTGGTAAAAAACAAATGATAAGCGAAACAATCTCCGAGAAAAATGGCACCATAATTAGCTCCCAGGATAGACGTCTGGAGCGCTGGAAAGAACACTATGAGGAGCAGTTTAATTGGCCCACAGCCACACTTAACCTACCGGACATCCAACACCTCCCTGAATGGGAGATGGACACAGGTCCTCCGTCCTTAACCGAGGTTACTAAAGCTGTCACCAATCTGAAGCTAGGCAAAGCAGCGGGACCTGATTTATTGACTCCAGAGGTATTTAAGTACGGAGGCGACAGTTTACTGTCTGCGTTAACGGAGGTTCTAGGCAGCGTCTGGGAATCAGAGGAAGTCCCATCGGGTTGGTGTAAGTCACTGATCATCCCGATATACAAGAAGGGGGACAAGTCGTCTTGTGATAATCACAGAGGGATTAGCTTGACTAATATAGTATCTAAAATCCTAGGCTCAATAATACTGCGTAGATTAAGTGGTGCTCGGGAGACACAAACACGAGAAAACCAGGCAGGTTTTAGGCCAGGTAGAGGGTGTATCGATCACATCTTCACCCTTCGACAGATTCTAGAACATAGGCATTCCTACCGGCGTCCGACAATCATTATATTTCTTGACCTAAAGGCGGCATTCGATTCTGTCGACCGGGAGGTTCTCTGGCGATGCTTGGCTGTAAAGGGAATGCCAAGAAAATACATTGCACTGATTAAGGCACTCTACTCGTACTCATGCAGCCAGGTGAGGGCTTATGGCGAGTTGTCATCTGAAGTGGTGACGACTAGTGGCGTCCGTCAAGGATGCCCATTATCCCCATTCCTATTCAATTTCATCATAGATGTACTAATGGACTTAACCCTAACTCACTTCAGCGACTCAGGGATTGACTTGCTACCGGGGAATAATCTCGTTGACTTAGAATATGCGGACGATATAGTCCTTCTAGGCGAGGACTCTGACAAAATGCAGAGTCTACTGAACACCCTGAGCAACAATCTCCGCATGTTTGGCATGCGATTCGCCCCTATAAAATGTAAGATGATGCTGCAGGATTGGACTTCATCGACCCCTAGATTAGAAATAGTAAGTGAAGTGGTAGAACACGTTGACCGCTTCACTTACTTGGGAAGTACCATCAGCCCCAACGGGTTGATCTCCGACGAAATTTCAGCACGAATACAGAGGGCTAGGTTCGCATTCGCCAGTTTTCGCCGTCTCTGGCGTAGACGCGATATCCGACTATCGACCAAAGGGCGTGTGTACTGCTCAACAGTCCGCTCCGTCCTCCTTTATGGCTGTGAGACCTGGCCATTGAGAGCAGAAGACATGAAAAGATTAGCTGTGTTCGATCATAGGTGTCTGCGTTCTATCTCCCGCGTGAAGTGGTATAATAAGGTGAGCAATATTGAGGTTAGGCGTCGAGTGCTAGGTAAGGCGGGGAAATCAATTGACGAGACTGTGAAATTACTTCGACTGAGATGGTTAGGACATGTGCTACGTATGCCTAGTCATCGCCTTCCTCGACGGGCAATGTTAGCTGACATAGGGTCAGGCTGGAAAAGAGCTAGCGGCGGTCAAAAGAAAACATGGCACCAATCAATGAAATCCACAACAGTTAATCTAAGCCACGTAGGAAGATGTAGACTTCCTGGTTGGGGCCCTCGGGATGGTAAAAACCAATGGTTGGAAACAATTGGCGACATGGCTCAAAATCGTTCTCAGTGGCGCAGATGCATCCACTCCTTGTGACTTATCATTTCCAATTAAACTGTTTTGTTCTCCGTTATTACTATTCCTTTGTCTCACACCTCTGTTTACTGTTTATATTATGCATTTCTCCTACTTCCTTCTCTTGCTTTGCGTGCTACATGGATTGTGGCGACTTGAACTGCCGCACATATGTGCAAAGTTCTATGTCGAAAACAGACAGACAGACAGACAATTATTGAACATTTAATGTATTCAAATTAATGCAGTCCATCCGAAATGCGAAAATTTGAAAAGAAGATATTTAATATTCAACATGAGATTATGTACAAGAAGTTAAAAGCTGTGCGTTTTAGAAAATGCATCCGAAGTTTATAAAATTATTTATCTAAGCTGTGCTCGTTATTCCTAAATTTTCTAATAAATGAAGTAAACGATTACAGCATGATAGTGTTGCTTTAGAATTTCACTTGTTGAATTTTCATCTCGAACCAACATCATTTGGAGAGATCACTGAAAACCACCAGGGGGGAAGTGGACGGCTGTCTTATTCTAGTCCGAGATTCTTTAATAGTGCAAATTCCCTACCCCGTCAGGGATTGAACCCGGGACCTTCAGGTTATGTAACAAAAATCAGTGACCATTCAGCAACTTAGGCTGGAATCTACTAACTCCTGAGTTCTGACCTTATCAACTCGTGATACAGCGCTGCCGTGTCACCAATGCCTTCGATAGGAATCCACTTCAGCTTGACACAGTCAAACCCACTGGTCACAAATTCCCACATCAGCTTCAAGAAATCCATCGACTAACCATCAATGAGTTGGCGGTTAATATTCAGCCCAAGTAGCTGAATGGTCAACGAGCTTGATCTCTTAACGAGAAGGTCCCGAGTTCGATCCCTGGCAGAGTCATGGGTGCGGCCTACTGAGGAGTCACAAAATAAAACAAGACAGCCGTCTAATGCCAATTGGTTTTTTAATGGTCTCTCTAACTAATGTAGTTTCTTGACGGAAATCTAACCACTGAAATTAATTCGATATCCTCACAAATCGTATAGTCTGAATTTCCAATCTTTAACACAATACACTTAGAAAGACCTTTTCTAAAAATTAAGGTTAAAGGACATGTATATTTCAAGACTTGTTCTTGACTGTCAAGAAAACCAAGGGGAATTTTTAAAAGGCAGCGGGCATTACTAGCTGATATAGGTGCAGGTTGGAAAAGAGTAAGTGGTAGCCAAACAAAAACATGGCCTCATCAATCCATGAAATCCCTGACAGTTAAACTGAGTCAGGTAGGGAGATGTAGACTTCCGGGTTGGGGCTCTCGGGACTCCAAGAATCAATGGCTGGAGACAATAGGTGACATGGCTCAAAATCGTTGTCAATGGCGCAGATGTATTCAGTCTCCGTAATCCTTCATATTCTTTTCTAC